CTCGGCATTCTTAATCAAAGCCTCTGCTTGAGCGGGGCTAACTTCGATGCCTCTGCGGTTGACCACGTGTCCCAAAAACTGACCGGAACTCACACCGAACGAGCACTTGGTTGGATTGAGTCTCATCCCATATCGCCTCAGCACATCAAATATATCTTGCAGATGTTTCAGATGATCATCCTTCTTCCTACTCTTTACCACCATATCATCAATATAGGCTTCCACAATCTTTCCTATCTGATCCTTGAAAATTTTGCTAACAAGTCTTTGATAAGTAGCTCCCGCGTTCTTTAGTCCGAAAGGCATAACTTTGTAGCAGTATGTCCCTCGCTCGGTTACAAAAAAAGTTTTTTCTTCATCTGCCGGGTCCATAGGGATCTGATTATAACCTGAATAAGCGTCCAGAAAGGTTAAACGCTCGTACCCAGTGGTGGCATCCACCATTTGATCAATCTTTGGCAGCGGGAAGCTATCCTTGGGACAGGCTTTGTTCAAATTGGTGAAATCAATGCATACTCGCCATTTCCCATTCTTCTTCTGCACGACAACGACGTTGGACAACCAATCAGGGTAGTGTACTTCTCTGATAAATCCCGCATCAAGCAGCCTATCAACTTCCTCGGCTATGATTTGGTTGCGTTCTGGAGCAAATCTTCGTTGCTTCTGTTTTACTGGTTTGAAATTGGGATTGACATTCAAGGAATGACAGGACACGGAGGGATTAATTCCAGGCATGTCTAGGTGACTCCATGCAAATACATCGGCATTGTGAGACAAGAAGTCAACTAGCTCTTGCTGCTCTTCCCTGGTCAGTCTTATTCCTACTCTGGTAGTTCGCTCTGGCCTGGACTGATCGATCTGCACATCCAGAAGGGGCTCTTCGGTCAAGTCGACTGACTCCCCCTTGAAACCGTAGACCAACAACTTTAATTATTGCCTTAATCTGATCGTTGTTCTTAAACTGAGCATGTATTGTGTTTCCAAATTCGGTTGTGCATGGCAGATAGTTCATTATCTTGTATCACCCTGTTCTGCTTGGGCGGAGGTTCCTGTAATTGCTATCTGGGGCTTGCCGATCGGACGGGCGCCTTCCTTTTCCCAGCATACTTTAGTGTGACGGAATAACACTCTTTGGCTGCAACCTGATCCCCACGAATGTCTATCACCTTCTTTCCATCGGGTCCGAGGCACCTCATGACTTGATGCAAAGTTGAGGGTACACCTTGGACTCTGTGAATCCATCCTCTTCCCATCAGGAGATTGTACGAGGGGTGAATCTCTACAACCACAAAAGTTTCCATAAGAGCTCGTTCTACAGCTTGAACTTCTACTTCCACCATTCCGACGGGCTCCACCCTCTTGCCATCAAATCCTAACAGGGGATTTCCAGTGGGCTTGAGCCTCTCTGGTTTAATCTCGAGCTGATCAAATGTGTCCCTCGGCATGACATTCGCACTGCTCCCAGGATCGATCAGAACTTTGCGCACCAGGCAGTCCGCCACTGTCAAACTGACTACCAACGGGTCTTCATGGGGGATTTGAACACGCTGCAGGTCTGTCCTGTCGAACTTTATCTGTATCGATGTGATCTGCTGGTGTAGAGTATTCACACTACTGACCCTTTTCTTCATCTGCGCCTGCCGTAGGCGCGCTCGGAGTAGTTCATCTGAATCTTCGCTGGGCTCAGGTCGACCGTGGATAGCATTGATTATACGAATTGGTTGTGAACTGTGGGAGCTTTGTTTATGACTCCTTTTTACTTGTTCCATCGGTCGATTCTGCTCTGTCGTCGAGCCTTGAACATAACTCGCAAACTCCCCTCTAGCTATCAACATCTCTACTTGCCTTCTCAAATTCCTGCATTCATTAGTCTGATAACCGAAATCGGAATGGAAAGCACAATGTTTAGTCTGATCCCTCTGTTCGAGGGGTTGCCTAATTGGCAGTGGTGGATGAAACTTATCTTTGTTCTCCTGATATAGCCTCGCTAGAGTGACCTTCAGCGGAGTAATCAGCTCTTCCTCCCTGGACCTCTTTTCTGCCTTCCAGGAGGTCTGACGCTGCGGCTGAGCCTGCTTCTGCCTGATCTTTGCCTTGGACTTTTCCTCGGTCGACACGAGCGACGCTGTCCGAGCATTGACTGCCTCCTCTTCTTCTAGGCGCACAAAGCCGTCGGCTCTTTCATTGAGTTCATCCATAGTCGTCGGCGTATTCACTACCAGACTGGTATGGAACGGAGTGCCACGTGTCATGGCTAACTTGAAGGCTTGAACCGCTGTAGAAGGGTGGTATTCGATCACCATACTCTTAGTGAGATTAAACCTGGTGAGAAAAGCCTGGAGATGTTCATCTTTGTGCTGTCTCATTGTGAATAGGCTTGAGATGTCCTTTGGCGGACGCTTGTTCCCATAGTACTGGCTTATGAACCGATCGCACAGGTCTCGGAAGCTACCAATGGAGCTCCTAGGCAAGTTCTTGAACCAGCTGAGCGCCGGTCCAGCTAGGCTTGTAGGGAAACATTTGCACATTAAAGCGTCGTTTTCCGTATTCAGGGCCATCTTCAACTGGATATGGTACACATGATCGATCGGATCGGTTGTTCCGTCAAACAGAATAAAGACTGGCATAGCAAACTTTGCGGGGCATTCAGGATCTCGTCAATGAATGGTGAATCAACCGTCCGAGCCGCGGATCGGAGTGCTTCATTTTCTCTTTGGTGCCCAGTGGTAGCCCTGTGAGCTACGGTTCTGCTCTCCGAACCGCGATGAGTGATTGTAGCCATGGAGGGCCGGTAGGACGGATCGAACGACCGTTCCTCTATGAGCTCTCTTTGCCAAGGCGACGCAACTTGGCGGCGATCAACCTCTATCACCTCCTCTCGGTTGAACCTTTCCCGATGCGGATCGAAGGTCATGGCTTCGTTCTGTCTGATCTGCTCATGTCGTGGATCAACGTGAGTCGATCCTTCGTGATCCTCAACTCGACGAGCATTTGGCGGCAAATCATCCATCCTCCTTTCATCACGGTGGAGAGCTGACTGATTGTTCTCATCCTGCTCGCCTTGATGCGCGATATTAGATTGAACACCTCCTTCACCGGTCGGAAGTGGACGCGAAACCGCGGGTATTTGCTGATGTTGCATTCCAGCTTTCAATTCTGCATTCTCTTTTTTAAGAGCCTCGATCAAGTTTATCAACTCCTCAAGCTTCTTTTGCTGGACAGCCTCCATCGGATTGGAGCTTTCACCTATCATTATTCCTGAACGGAGTAAAGGCATTAATCTCAAGTTCGTGAGTAGATCCGAGCTTCGTGAGTGGGAATTTTTCAGATCTGGTTTCGAATTCTCCGAATTATGCTCACGGTTGACGAGATCTGAATTGTCCGAATTCTAAATCCGTCAGATCCTGCCACAATCGAACAACTCGTTGTTGTGTAGATCTGAAGCCACTTCTGCCAAAGCAACAGGAACTAAAATTCCTCCAGAGTAGGTCACAATTGCTCAGATCTGGATCCAACTCCCAAAGATCGAGTTTCGTTCCCCCGGATTGGTCTGAATCCACGCGATATTAATCAACGATCAATCAATCTTCCACGCTTCCCACAGACGGCGCCAATTGAAGATGCAGGAAATTCCTCCTCTCTTTCTCTCTCTAGAACTCTTGCATTTCAACCCCAAAAAATATCTCCTTCTACTCTATTCATTACTTCTCCTATTTATAGATATTTACAAATGTCGATGGACTGCTGGATCTAGGCCTGTTCCTCTATGAGTTCTGGTCATCTTTGATGGGCTAATTTGCGTTCGGCCCATATGGCAGTGTCTTTCTATCGGCCTGACCCATCTGTACGGACCAGATGTCGCGTTTGCAAGTCATATCCGGCCCATGCCACTTCGGGCCTCCTCACTTGTCTTCTCTGATCCAACAAATGCTCTGGTAGTGGTATCGTAAACTGGGTCTCTGGCCCATTGATTCCGGCATTCCGACGGCATCACCACCATATCCACCGCACAATCAACGTCACAGTTGTGTATTCCGGCGTGCCACCATGACCACCACCATTGCCCCTTCGTCCTCCACCTATTATTATTTTTTATACAGGGAACAGTGATAGTGATTCAGGAGAGGGAGAATGAGAATTGAGTAAAAATGGCTTAGGTTTAATATGAGGTTAATAAATTCAACCTGGAGAGTGTTACAGCATTTAACTTATTTTTATTTAAAAAATTATAGAAAAAAATTAAAAGTAAAATTTATAATTATGAGTGCAAGTTCATATTATTTTTTTAACATATCTAACCTAATTAAAACATGTAACATTAATTTTTCACATTTATTTATTCAATTTTTTAAAAAATAAAAGCCTATTAATTTATGTCATTCAAATTTGTAATTAAAATTCATTTTTGTCAGTCTAATTTTTTGATCAAATGAACTTCTTATATACATATCTATCTATCTATCTATATATATATATATACACACACATTACATAAAATTCAAAATATAATATAAATAATATAATATGAGTAAATATTTAAGATTTGAACTTGAACTCATAATTATAATTTTTATTTATTTTTAATTAAAAATATGATTATGTATGTAACCAAAAAAATATACTTTCAAATATTATTATTCAAAAAAAAAAAAAAAAAAACTTTTAGTTAAATTCACCCAAGTTGGCTATAACCCATGACTTGGTTAGTGGGTGTGTTTTTGACAAAAAAAAAAAAAATAATAATAATAATAATAATAATAATAAATAAATAAATTAGCAATCCCTCTCGTCATTGAGGGAGTTCTTGGGCAGAATAATAGTAAAGGAAAGTTTATTGTAAAACAATGATAGTCAAGGGGAATTAAATACACTTTACCTAAAGTCAAATGAGTAATTGGCTGCAAAATTCAACATACAAACATAGGCCCAGCCCATCTAATGCTTGGGCCACTTTCACTAAATCAGATATTTTCAGACCAGTGTCAAATTGGATCTAAAGCCTTAAACATCTGTAACTCGTAAAGCAGAAGAACCAGCCACCAGGTTTAGGGCAACATTCTTCACCCTTCAAGAGAGAGAATCGAATCACTGCAAATCTATGAAGCTCCCCCACTTCACGGGGAAGTACTCATCTCTACACTCTTTGCTTTGATTGAAATCATACTATATATAATACATCATTGTGTTTCTTCAAGAAATGACTATATATATCTGCAAAAGTCTCATCTCACTCTCTCTCAACAACACTTCACAACTCAACAAAACCCCAATCTCTCTTTTCTCTCGCCTCTTCTTCTCTTCCTCTCCAGAAAGCCCCATTCCGGTGGCCGATTACTTGATTGATAGACACAAATTTTCTGCTGAAACTGCTTCGAAAGTCTCTTCTGTCGTAAAGTATCTGAAAAGGCCTGAAGAAACCGATTCGATTCTTTCATTTCTCCAGGAAAGTGGTTTTGCGGATACCCATGTCGAGCTTCTCATCAAACGCATGCCTCAAGTTCTCTCTTCAAATCTTGAGCGCTCCATCAAACCCAAATTCAAGTTTTTACAAGACTTGGGTATTTCTTCTAGCGATGTTGTGGAAGTTGTTTCGTCTCACCCACGGATTCTAGCTAGTAGCGTTGATCGGCTTGGCCTGTCAATTTTAGCATTGAAGAGTGTTTTGGGTTCAAATATGTATGTGCCTATGGTTTTAAAGAGATCTGGGAGGCTTTTGGGGCACGATTGGGCGAAAACTTTGATACCCAATATTGATTTTATGAAGAGTTGTGGTATTAGTTCTTCGCAAATAACCCACTATGTCTGTAATTTCCCAAGATTATTCTTGTATAAACCGACGAGTATTAGAGAATATGTCAAGAGGGTTGATGAGATGGGTTTTGACAGGAACTCTAAGATGTTTCTTCCTGCGATTCGGGCTATTAGTTCTATGACTGTAGAGAATTGGGAGTTGAAATTGGAGGTCTTTAAGAGTTTGGGGTTTTCGGAAGATGACATTTTGTCAGTTTTTAGGAGACTACCTCAGGTATTTGCTCTGTCAGAGAGGAAAATTAAGGCAACAACACAGCTTTTACTTAGCACAGGCAAATGTGATATCTCATATGTTGTTAATCACCCAGCATTACTTCTTTACAGTGTTGAAAATAGGCTTAAACCACGGCTAAGAGTTATTGAGGCTTTGGAAAGGAGGAATTTGCTTCTTAAAAAGCCTTGTTTGACCACTCAATTTATCATGAGTGATAAGAAGTTCTTTGAGAAATATGTACTGCCTTATTCCGATGAAGTTGGTGAATTATTCGTGGTTAACAAGGCCTCATTGACAGCAGAAATATCTGCTTAACATCAAGACATCCTTTGTGATTCAGGCTGAGACTAAATGTTTTTCCCAAAAAGCAAATGAATTGGCAGCATAGCATGGCAGGTAAGTAAGTACACTTCTGCACTAGATATTCTCATGTTTTATAATTTTCAATTTTCATATGGTGTAATATTTTACGTGTTTGGCAATGATTATGTGCAATGATTATGTAGTATCTGCACGTATAGCTGATCTTGTTCTTCACATATAATTTCTCATTGTGCATAAATTTTGTTTATCATGTACATTGGTACTTACAGTAGTCATTCATGTGCGGATCTGCTAATATAGACATGATTGGATCTTATACTAGCAGTATCCCGAATGAAGTCGTCTGCACTCTGCAGCTGCTTCTTGCAATAGTGAATTTTGACTTAGATTCACTGACTACTTAATTGTCCTTTAGCATATCTGATGGGGCATATGCAGTCCCTCTATTCTCAAAGGGGCCTTCAGGCCCCAAGAGAATTCTAATTCCCAACCTCCAAGACGTGATATGTGAGTCTTTGCCATTAGGGTATCCCATTTGTGGTTATTTCCATTATAGCGAAACTCTTTCTCTATTGTTGTGATCTTTGTTCTGCAATCCTTCTGAACTACAAATGTCTTTGGGCAATGATGAAAAAGATGGACAAAAGGGATAACTTTCATCATATAACCCATTGTTAACTCATGATTTTGAATCAATTTGCTAAATCCCATGATATTGGTTCTTTCTCTTCTAGTGTTTTTCATGTTACTTAATACATTTTATAATCGAAGGAAAAAACAAAAAAACCACCCTAAACTAATTGATTTTATCCCCACTAAATGTACCCGTGGACTATATGATGTATCAGACATGCCAAACGAGTAATCATAACATGAGTAAGACTATCAAGAAAACCCTTTGGTGACAACTATTATGAATTTTTCATATTGACCATTGCATTGGGAGAATTGTTAATACATTTAGGGTGTGTTCGGCAGCATGGAATTGGAATTGTTAGAATTTGACAAATTTTTGGTTTAATTTTCTTAGTTGTTTTTCTCAAATTCCTCAATTCCAATTCCAAATCTCCAATTCCATGTAGCCGAACGCACTTTTTACAAATTTTAAATACTGTCTCAATAGAGTGGATAATAAGTTTTTGATAAATTTGTAATTTGAGATGTTTTCCTAAGCTCTTTATTATATGAATATTCTCACATTTCTTTCTAGCTACAAGTATGCTCATTCATTTTCGTTGAAGGAGGCAATGCAAGTAGGGATGGCAATGGGGCGGGGCGGGGCGGGGATTTCATTCCCCATCCCCATCCCCGCTGAATTTTTCAATCCCCGTCCCCGCTCCCATCCCCACTTAAAATTTCACCACTACCCCCATACCCGGCCCTGGCCACGGCCCCGCCCCCTTATCCCTGGCCCCGGCCCCGATTAACATATATATATATTTTAAAAAAACATAATTTTTCTCATTTTCATATATAATACTAAATCTAATTTAGTAATAAATTATTATATGTAAGGGTATATTAGTAATTTCACACTTAATCGGGGGCGGGGCAGGGCGGGTTTACCCATTACCCGTCCCCCCCCCCCCCCCCCCCTCCGCCTCCGCTCCCGGCGGGTTTTCAAAATTTACTCCCATCCCCATCACTGCTATAAACGGGGCGGGGCGGGGACCCGGCGGGAATTGGGAATTTGCCATCCCTAAATGCAAGCTGCAAAGAAGTGTATTTCTCCTTGCCATCAGATTGAAAAAACCATTGAAAATCAATTCACGATGATGATATGCAATATTATTCTAACAAAAGATTGAAAAGAATTGGCGTCATTAACTTTTAGTCCCACTAGAACACATAATAAATTCAATTATTGTGAAGTTCTATTTTAGAACAATAGTTTTCTTTTTTTCTTTCGTAAATAGAACATTAATAGTTTAATTAATTCTTTATAGGGTAAAGTGCAACAAACTCCTTTGAACTATATCTCAATGAGCAAAAAACCCCCTTGAATTTTTAAAGTAGCATTAAACCCCCCTAGACTATGCTGTTTAGTTGCACTTTACCCAATCCGGCCACCGGCCGATTAATTTATAGCCACTATTTCTCTAAATGACCATAGAGCCCTTATCATATGTAAAAGACCACAATGACCTTTGAAGTTCATATTTCGCATATTTACGTTGCTGCCCTCCTTTCCATTTTCTTTGTCCTCTTTTCATCAATTACATCACCGCCGTTGATTCTCTCCTCGGCCACCATGTGTCTAACAATGGCAACTGCTATTTTTAATGTTTTTTTTATTTTGGATACTGTTGTTGTTATCCCACCCCTCATAATCTTCTACGAATCATCATCCATCCCACGGTCGGCGACAATCGTCGAACAGGCTCAGTATAGTTGGAGAGGTATCATAGCAGACGAAATATACACATCGCCATGGTGGCTGGAGCCAACACGGCCAAGGCGACAAGAGGAGCCCAAAAATTGTCGTCGATAGCACGGAGGCATACAACATCGGCAACCTAGAAGAAGATGATTTAGAGGTCCGCAAAACAAACTACCGTCGTCTGACTCGCGCCCACGCGCCACTGCAGGTAGATCTAACCCGCTTTTCACTCGCGCACGCGTAACCTTCTTCTTCGTTGCCCTCTGCTGCAGCTTTATTGCTGCACCTGTTCTCGGTTGCGCCTGTGTTGCCAAACCTTGGCGGCTCTTGTCCATCAATTATTCTTTCATGTTGCACATCGTCGGCCTCAACTTCATTGCCAACCAATCCACATGTCCGAACAAAGACTGACAGATGGTCGTCTTTACGGCCAGACCTGGGGGTGAATCTCCACCGCCGATGCAATCTCTATTCACTGAAAGTAGGAAATGGGTTTGATGAAGCTCTGCACTTGGAGTACGCTGAAACTGCTAGGTCTCTTGGTGAAGCTCATTGGTTTAGCGGCGGTGGTGTCAATTAAATTTCTGCTATATTGGTTTGGTGATGGGTGGAGAATTTTGCTATGGATTCTTAGGAAGAAGATTGTTGGACTGATTCAGATTCTATATACAGAACTGTATATATATATATACATTCGGATTTTTGGGAAGAAGATTTTTGGGAAGAAAATCTGTCTATATATATGTATTATGTGTGTATATATATATATATATATATATATAATTGCAAGAACAATCTGAACTACATATCGAGAAAGAATAACTTTTTGATTTTTGGGGAAGAAAGGTTAAAACGACGTAGCCTTTGATAAGGGTAAATTGGTCTTTTTATTTTTCTCGCAGCGGAAGGTGACGTGGTGGGGTAAATTGCAAAAAAATCATAGTTCAGGGGAGTTTTTTTTTGTAGTTCAGGGGGGTTTATTGCAAAACCCCAATAGTTTGGGAGGGTTTATTGCACTTTACCCTTCTTTATATATTCTTCAAGTTTCTAACTTTAGATTGATACAAAATGGTTTATGATTATTTTGTTAGTCTATACTAAGTGACCAAGCTGATTTAAAGTGTTAAAAACAATCATATGATTCAATATATATATATATATATATATATATATATATATATATATAATTAGTTTAACAAAAAAACTGAGAGCACATGCAGTTGAGATGTGCCATGTTCAGAAGAATTTCTGGCTATTGATAAAAAGGAAAAGCAGTGGTAGAGGGGAAAAGAAACTTGGCTACTGATAAAAAGGGAAAACTGTGGAAGAGGGGAAAATAGAGTTGGAAAATTGTGAAAAGGATGAAGAGGCTTTTGGAAGGCATAAATTAAAATTTAGAATGGAACATGATCAAACTGACCTCTCGTGCCCTCTCTTTCTCCTTTTTGTGCGAACGGTAATAAGTTTTAAAACTTAATTACTAACACGTGACCTTTCAAAGATAATTTAGTCAAAAAAAAATATCAATAATGTGTTTGATGCTCTCACAAACTTCAATTAAAACTTCACAGTTGAAGATTCATGTAGAGTCAGTTTTCGGCTAGAATTTGGAGAAGCCTCATCTTCTTCAGTTTTCGGCTGAAGATTATTTTTGTAGATTTTTTTTTTTTTTTTTTTGGTTGACGAACAAATATGGTAGTCTAAGTGACAGCCACTTTGGCATCCATGTGGAGAAATGAAAGAGAGACAAGCGGTTCAAATTATGGTCCAATAATACAGTGACACGTGGCATTTGCTGAAGGTAACTGAAAATCCAACACTTGTGTGGGGGCAGCAGTTGATAAGTGTGTAATATTTCTGCTGACACTTGGAGGAATACAGAAGTTCACATGCGGCAAGATTGTATAGTACCGGAGGGCTATATAATTCAGTCACAAAAAATATGTATAATCAGCCATAAAGTAGGCCAAACAAGTCATAAATTCAAGGCTAATGGTTAACAAAATGGGCTGAATTAGTTCATACAACTAAGAAAGTGAGTTGGCATAAACATTATCCTTACATATATGAATAACCATTTTGCTATAAAATAGGAGGTGGGTTAGTGGACATGTGGCTGACAACAGAACTGCCAGGTAGTTAGTGGCTGATATAACGGTCCATTAAATGGATTTATGGGACACTTGCTCAGCATACATGTCAGGCCCTAAAACAATGGGAGTGGGTTGAGAAATTGTTAATAATAAATCAAGATATGATTGACACTGGCAAATGACGAAACTTTAAGTGGTTCCTATAATATATAGGAAAGTGGGCTAAGAAATGCGCTGAAAATGAATTATATGTTGACACATGTCACATGCAAATTACAAAGAGAAGCTTGGGAACGTGGGTTTGAAAGTTACAAGGTCATGGGTAAATGATTTCACAAACCACCAATTCATGCGACACTTGGTAGATGAACAAATCCGCACATCATAATCTGGAAGATGCACAACTGACAGAACATGGGCTGAATCTTGGGACACATGGCGTCACCAGACCAAAGCTGGAAGAAGTCATGGAGATCATGGATTTAGAAGTTAGTTTATCATAATACATAGGTCCTTTTTGTAAGGCTTGTAAATTCTATAAATAGTCTACTCGAGACTACATTTGAAAGCCCCTCTACGGCATCAAACAATTCAATACTTGTTATTTTATTCCTGCATTTTTCAATACAAGTTTATTTCAAGTTCTTTACATTAATGCACTTGCACTTTAATGTTCTAGTTAGCATTGTAGTTTTGTTAAAAGTCCTTTCATCAAAGGCAAATCAAAATCTTCCACAATCGCCTAATCGTCTCAAAAGGGTTTTGTTTTGTCCGAGTTTCTCTGAGTCTTCCGAGACTCTGGCATACTTGCGCACTTCCAGCGTCCCAACACCACCGATGATGAAGAGCCAGAAGAAGAGGTTCAGCTAGTTCAAACTAAAAGTTCCAATCTCGGCCATGTGCAAGAATTAGCCATACAACCCCAAGTATCATGATTCAAGCACAACTATCGTCTCTAGTAGAGGTGATAAGAAGAATGAACGCTCGTTTCGACGAGATGGAAGATTCAGTTTCCCAATTATCGGCCAATTCTCACAATACGCCGGTAAAGGCAGTAACTTCTCAATAATCGGTTTCCCAGCCGATTTCTCAACAGACTGTTCAACCTTGTCCAATGCTACATGTGAAAGAAGTAAGTTATGATCTTAAAATACAGGGGACGAATACGCTTGGTTCACCATCCGAGTGGTTCTCGAAGGTGAGACATTCATCGTCAAGTTTTTGGACTTCCCCGAATGTCAAATTCCTTGGGCTAAAGGAAAACTGGTAATCTAAATCAAATCAACTGGAAGGCTGTTACAATTTCTTCGACCAAATTGTTCGAATAACGTAATTTTGGTTAAGAATTTGTAGATTATGGGGATTGAATTTTGAAATTTGAGAGTTTCATTGCCGTCAATTTACAGACCCTCCAAGCCGTCGACAACTTCGGCCGGTTCCGGCTAAGGTACAAGACAATGAGTGCTCTAATATCGCCAAAGGCTTGACGGTCTGTTCCTCATTTGAAGTCAAAGCGGAGAGTCAACATCAGCTTTTTCTCCTATTTCTGGTGAATCTACATAGCTTTTTCTTCTATTTCTCTCATTTGCTCTAATATCTTTTAACATTGTGATTTCAGGCTGAATCATTTACAATATATACACACACATATTGTATATTTTCTCACATATCACACTGGTCATGAATTTGTTTCATAGACCTTTTATTTATATCCTGTTCGGATTAAGAGTACTAAGAGTTGTCTTTTCATATATGTAGCTTTTATTCTTATAACTTCTACTTTACATCTCGTATTGGTTAATATGAGTGTCAACAATTTGGAATTTTATAGATGTTGTTATTCTTTAATGTTTAGACATTCTACTTTTGATAGGTAGCAAACGAGCTGAGTAGTGGCTTGTTTAAGTTTGGCTCAGTGTCACAAGAGTATTTGAGCTCAAATAAGACCCCAACCTCAATGTTTGAACTCAGCTCAACTATGTTCACCAAAAACTCGATACGACACCGTTTTCCTTTTAAGGAATGAAGCATATGTAGAGGATACAACCAAGTATTGAGTTTACAATATGAAGAGTGTAATAGACCATATGGGCTTACTAGGCTTAGCTTGTCCGTTTAGTAGATTCATTTTTTGTTTCCTGTTCCTTTTCTTGCCTTGTTGATTGTTCTGTTTTTTTATTATTTATTTTTATCGTTCTGTTTTCCAATTCTCTCTCTTTTATGACTATTATGTTATGAAATTTATTTACTTTACCCAAAGGGAAAACATTCATTTTGTATTGCAACCCCAAGTCAGTCTCTTTTGCTTGTTTGAAGCTAATAAACTTGATGGGTCTTAAAGAATTCTATTGTATAAACTGGTCCAAATATTTTTTTTTCCCTATCCAAAATTACAAAATAGCTTCTCTAAAGAAAACAGCTCTGAGTTGAGGGATAAAGGTGCAAATGCAATTTAATGGAAAGAGAGAGGGTCTTGTATACCCTGCTTTAGAACTATACCTTGCTTTTGTTATGTACCTTTTATGAAGAGAGGTTCTTTTATACCCTTTCACTTTAATTTTTTAACCCTTCCTGTCGTTTTAATTGAATAATTTGAATTATTTCTCTCTCTCTCTCTTGAGTGTGTGCGCGCGTGTGAGAGAGAGAGAGATAAGATTTTTTTTTTTTTTTCCCCAGATGTCTTCTTTACTTGTTTGACATTGTTTAAGGACCAATTTTCAATTTTTATTATTAGCTTTAAAAAGAGTATAAATTTGAAGTTATAATTTGGCAGAGCTTGATCCATTTCTCTAGAGATACTTACTATATGCTTCAAATCATCAAGATTTGTTCTAGTAGGTTACACTGTCAATGAAGTCATAAATAGTGAAGTGCATATTATGCTCCTATAACAGCCTAACTTCTACAGAATATAAATTGTAAGGTATAATTTGTCCTTGAATACTTGTGTAAGCAGTTGCTTCAACTAGTCCATAGAACTCCCCAAATTTCAATCTAACCATTTTTGAACTTTATTTACTTATTTTGTATTAGGACAAGAAATTAACACGCTCACGTGTTCCTATGGGGACTTGATCTCTGACTACCTCCTTTGAAAGATGAGAAAGTACCAAATTATATGTCAAAAGTGTTGAATCATATTTGCATGCTTTAAGATCAAGAAACACTTGGGCAGACACACTCACTTGGGCACTGACAGAAGAAGAAAATTGGAGTCGAACAATGTTGATTCAAGCATTTCACAGTACTCGGAATTGGTGTCTTAAAGACTTAAGTACAAGACAACGAGTACTCTAATATCGTCCAAGGCTTGACGGTCTATTCCTCATTCGAATTCCGTTCACGTCAACACGGAGACATATTTTATATTTTTTAACATTAGCATTTTCTCCTATTTAACATTGTGATTTCAGGCTGAATCATATACTATATAATATACAAGACATATTGTATATTTTCTCACACATCACACTGGTCATGAATTTGTTTCTTGGACCTTATATCGTGTTCGGGTTATGAGTACTAATAAGAGTTGAGTCTTTTCATGTATGTAGCTTTTATTCTTAGAACTTCTACTTTACATCTTGTATTGGTTAATATCAATTTGGAATTTTATAGATGTTGCTATTCTTTAATTTTTAGAACTTCTACTTTTTAGCGGCTTGTTTGAATGAGGCTTGGTCTGGCACAGGAGTGTTTGAGCTTGAATAAACCCCCAACCTCAATGTTTGAACTCAGTGAGCTATGATCACCAAAAACTCGACCTTGGCTCAAAACAACTTGTTTACATGTATTACACGCACAAACACAAATTAGTGTGTATATAAATTCCCAAACATCAGTGCATGTATATATACACACACCGTATACACATAGTTTCAGCGACCTTCACATCGATATTCGATTTCCATCAAAATGGACTTGCAGTGTGGTCGGGTCATAACCTTAGAAAAGAGACGATTTGATGTTCGTCTTCCCACAAACAAGAACACACATTACTTTCAAAGATGCCCAACTAGGCTTACAACCTCTGAATTTATTTAGACTCGATTCCCCTTTCCAATGAGAGAATCTTATCCTAGCTAACCAACTATACATTAACAAAATGATAAACATAGCTAACCATTGTTGTAGATAAGAGAAAGAAACAGAAGGTAAACAAATATCTAACTGATTACTGAAGATAAAGAAGAAAACAACTGAACACGAAAGTCATAATAGTCCTCCCAAGTTGCATCTTCCACAGGGTGGTCGACCCACTGAACTAGGAGACCAGTAACAACTTGATTGTGATGTTTGGACATGTGACGATACAAAATTTTCAATGAAACCCAATTAGAGGCACCGTGATCAGTGATCGGAGGAAGTGTAGGGATCCCAGCTTTGTCTTTGTCTTGAGAAGGGAAATATGAAAAACATGATGGAGTTTACATGTAGGGGGAAGGTCAAGCTTATATGCAACCAATCCAATGCATTGGATGACTTGAAATGGGACATAAATGGAGGAGCGAGTTTATTATATGTTCGTATGTTGACGATGCAGTTGGAGGCGTAAGTAAACCCAATCTCCCACTTCAAAAACAGCGTTCAACTTGATATGGATTAACAATAACCTTCATATGGTGTTGAGCACCCTTGAAGTTATCTTTTTAAAAGGTTCAAAACTTGATCACGATCATGATGAGTGGAGACGACGACATGCAATGGTGACTTCATAGTATTTAAGTTTTTGAATCGGTAAATCTTTTCACCACTTTGATTCAATGTAGATCGATATTGTTTTGGTTTGGTATCTAAAATATAATTTTTCTTTTTTTCACTTTTTCTTATAGAAACCATATTAAAGTAAAGGAAACTCATTCAGACAAATCATGAGTCTATAAAGGACAGTAAACAAAAAAATCTCATAAAAACTATGCCATTAGATCCGGAGGATATATTGATATATTTACATATATAGAGAGATATAAAGAGAGAAAAACCGATCCAAGAATTAATGTGTTATGGAATGTTATGAATTTTTGGGACAAAAAAATATTTGAAAAAAAAAACAAATTATTGTCATTATGAATCTGGATTGAATAATGATTTAATTACGTAATAATCTAATTTGATTTAAGTGAATGGGGTGGACACTGGTCACCACTCCTCTCGTATAAATTGAATTCAATAACTGTCAAATTTGGCTCCTAAATTTTTTTTTTTTTACTTGTCAATGGTTAGTGGGGTTAACCATTGTTCTCTGGTGGGGCTACCATATGGCCTGCCAATTCAAATTACAGCAAGTGAGGGTTAAAATTAGGCTCTCCAATGGGCTACTATATGGCTTGCCAAAATTTGCCTTTACCATTTTTTGTGTCAAATCTAACAAAACAAATAGCAATAGCTATTGCCTTATTTTGTTGCCCTGTCGTCTCTCTCTCGCTTTTATCCATCTGCAACGACCGTCTCTCTCTCTCATCCATCTGCCATGATCGGCCATTTTCGACGATGACCGGCGCTTAAAGGCGACGAACACCACCTCTTGCTTCTGCTGTTTGATTTTTGTATTTTCTCTTTCCCTACAGACCTTGATTAGCAGTTGCAGAGAGGGAGGGGAACAAGCTTGACAGTTGAGAGACAGTGGCTAAAGCTTGCGAACGGCAAACCTGAACTGGAACAATAGGCGATGGAAACTGAAAGATATGGGTTTTGATTTTTTGAACAATCTGAAATGATACGCCGATATGGGTTTTGACATAGGTAATAGGTTTTGAACTTTGGATTCTTGCAAACAGACAGATAAACTGAAATATATAAGTTTTGAATTTCTGATTCTTGTAGATTTTGTAGTTTGCAGTTGCAAAGAGAGGAGAGGGGGGCAAGTTCTCAGAGTTGAGAACGAGAATAGAGATGGAGGCGATTGGGGAGGCTGAAATAATTTGCCCTAAAAATATATATATTTTAATAATAATATAATCAAATATATATAATATCCATATATATGTATATAATACATATAAATTTTCAAAAAAGAAAAAAAAAATTATATAAAAAAATTAATTCACAAATTGTGGTAAAAAAATTATAAAAAATTTGTTTTGTTTTGTTTTTTTGTTTTGATCCTTTTTTTACTAGATATTTTAGATTTTTGCTTCTTTTTAATTAGGTTTAGTTTCAATTTCCTTCTAATATATACAACTTGACTTGGAATGTGCCTAATATTAATATTACTGATGCAAATAGAATGGTGGGAATGGTAGTTGAAAAAGAATAGTAGTTGTGTCAAAAAATAGCATTTTGTATGAAATGCATCATTTGAGCAAATTGTTAAAATGTAGTATTTTGACACTATAGCACCTGTCAAAATATAAATTTGACATGCGAAAATAACTTTTAACATTAGAAGTCGAAGGGGAAAGGGAAATAATACTAGTAGGTTTTGAACACGGCCAAAGGCCCCAAATAACGCATGACCTACGGCTATCACCGCACCTGCATTTCGGCCCCTAAATCACTACTAATTTGGGTTAGAGTTAAAAATTGTTACCACACAACGAAAATTATTGATATAAAATTGAAAACCAAAGAGCAATGACACTAAAATAGAAGTTGGAAACCGAAACATCCGGATGAGTTTCCATCCTTTGGATGCATTAATAAATGGGAAAGATTTTTCGTACATAAACCAGCCCACCTAATGCTTGGGCCAGGAGATGATGTCACCTGCTCTCTCTGTCAGTCCGCACTTAGAAACATAGGACCAGCCCACCTAATGCTTAGGCTAGAGGCCAGGACTTTCACTCAATCAGACATTTTCGTACGAGTGTCGATTTTGGGTTTAAGGCCTTAAACATCTAGTTGTAAAGTTGAAGAACCCTATCGTAGAGAGCTCCAATCAGGTTTAGGGCAACACTCATCCTTCAAACGCTTTCAGAGAACCAGAGAGAGAAAATCGAATCAATGCGAATCCATGAAGCTTCCCACTTTTTAGAGGCAAGTACTCATCTCTACACTCTTTGCTGTGATTGAAAGCATATTATAATATATATATCTCATTGTGTTTCTTCACGAAATGACTATTTATATCTGCAAAAGTCTCATCTCTCTCTCTCTCAAGAACTCTTCACATCTCAACAAAACTCCAATCTGTCTTCTCTCTCTCCGCTTCTTCTCCTCCTCTCCTAGAACCCCCATTGCCGTGGCCGATTACTTGCTTAATAGACACAAATTTTCTACTGAAACTGCTTCGAAAGTCTCTTCCATCGTAAAGTATGTGAAAAGGCCTGAAGAAACCGATTCGATTCTTTCATTTCTCCAGGAAAGTGGTTTTTCGGATTCCCATCTCGAGCTTCTCATCAAACGCATGCCTAGAGTTCTCTCGGCAAATCTTGAGCGCACCATCAAACCCAAAATCAAGTTTTTTCAGGACTTGGGTTTCTCTTCTAGCGACTCTGCGGAAATTGTTTCGTCTAATCCATGGATTCTAACTACTAGCGTTGATAATCGGCTTGGCCCGTCGATTTTAGCATTGAAGAGTGTTTTGGGTTCGAATATGGATGATGTGTCTAGGATTTTAAAGAAATCTGGGAGGCTTTTGACGTTTGATTTGGTGAAAACTCTGATACCCAATGTTGATTTTTTGAAGAGTTGTGGTATTTGTTCGTCGCAAATAGCTCGATGTGTATGTACTTACCCAACAACTTTCACACTTAAACCAACTAAAATTAGAGAATGTGTCAAGAGGGTTGATGAGATGGGCATTGACAGGAAGTCTAAGTTGTTTCTTCATGCGATTCGGGCTATTAGTTCGATGACTAAAGAGAATTGGGAGTTGAAATTGGAGCTCTTAAAGAGTTTGGGGTTTTCAGAAGATGACATTTTGTCAGTTTTTAGGAGACAGCCTAAGGTGTTTACTGTGTCAGACAGGAAAATTAAGGAGATAACACAGCTTTTCCTTAGCACGGGCAAATGTGATATCTCATATGTTGTTAATAACCCAGATTTACTTTGTCGCAGTGTTGAAAATAAGCTTAAGCCACGGCTAAGAGTTCTGGAGGTTTTGGAAAGCAGGAATTTGCTTCTTAAAATGCCGAGTTTGGGGACTGTATGCAGGATCACTGATAAGAAGTTTTTTGAGAAATATGTGCTCCCTTATTCAAATGAAGTTGGCGAATTATTTGTGGTTAAGAAGACCTCATTGAAAGCAGAAATATGTGCTTAAGATCATGACATCCTTTGGGACTTCATGATTTAACACCTAGAGGCAGACTGAAACTGAATCTTTTTTCCTAAAAGCAACGACTTGGCGGCATAGCATGGCAAGTAAGGAGGTACTCTTTTGCACTAGATATTCACATTTTTTTCTTGTATCCATATGGTGTACTACTGAGAAAAACATGGATTAATTTTCCAGGTTATCTTAATTTAACAGTTGTTTTTGTTTCAAATTTTCAATTGAGGCATCATGTTGAATAACTACGATAGGTATTATATTTTCTCATTTTGTGTGCTAGGCAGTGATTATCAAGTATCCACATGTATAGCCGTGATCTTATTCTACATTTTTAATTTTCTCATTGTGTATGATTGGAGCAAATGTGATGGAAATTTTGATAATTTTTTTCCAGTTCGACAAGTAATAGAAAGATCTACAATACCATTTTCTTAGTGGAAAATTTGATGCAAGAAACAGTTGAAACTTAATTTCAAGTTGAACAGAACTAATTTCACAAACAAACTTGTGCAAAGTTTTAGCTGTTCTATTAATTCAATCCAATTAAAGCATAGCAAATTTACTTTTTAGAAATGAACAGTGTGGTGGCTCAAGACCATAAGGACTAGGCTTAGCTTGTCCATTCAGTAGATTCATTTTTTGTTTCCTGTTCCTTTTCTTGCCTTGTTGATTGTTCTGTTTTCTAATTCTATGTATTTTATCACTATTATGTTATGAAATTTATTTACTCCACCGAAAGTTAAAACATGTCCATTTTTTTTTTTTTCTTTTTTCTTTTTCAAAATTACCCAATAGATTCTCTAAAGAAAACAGCTCTGAGTTGAGGGATAAAGGTGAAAATGCAATTTATTGAAGAGAGGGTCTTGGATACCCTGTCACTTTAATTGAATAGTTTGAATTATGTTACTCTCTCTCTCTCAGTTTGTCTGTGTGAGAGGATTTAAAAAAAAAAATTCCCCAGATGTTTGACATTGCTTAAGGACCGTTTTTCACTTGTTATTATTAGCATTAAAAAGAATATAAATTGTAAGTTATAATTTGGCAGAGCTTGATTTATTTTTGTCAAGAAATAATACTTACTATATGCTTCAAATAATCCAGATTTATTCTAGCAGGTTACACTGTCAATGAGGTCATATACAATAGTGAAGTGCATAATATACTACATAATATAAATTGTAACGTATAATTTGTCCTTGAATACTTGTGTATGCAGTGGCTTCAACAAGTCCATTAACCTCCCCAAAATTCAATCTAACCATTTTCAAAATTTATTTATTTATTATTTCTTCTGACAATAAACTAACATACTCACATGTTCCTAAGTGACTTGAACTCTGACCATCTCTTTTGAAAAGTAAAGTACTGTTAGATTACAACCTTTCGTATTTTAGTTATTAATCGCTACTCACCAAATTATATGCCAAATGCGTTTAAATCAGACTTGCATGCTTTAAGATCAAGAAACACTTGCCCAGACACTCACTAGGCACTGACACAAGAAGAAAATTGGAGTCAAAACAATGTTGATTGAAGCAGTTCAGTTGAATGACATAGATGATATGCTTTAAGATCAAGAAACACTTGCACAGACACTCACTTGAACACCCGCTAATTTAAAAGGTGAAAAAGTGCCACTAGATTACCTTTAATTTAGATGAAAGATGCTCCCAACTTGGTGCCAGAATCGTTAAATTGTTAATGACGTTTTTTTTTTTCTTTTTCTTTTTCTTTTAATAGAATTAATGGTGTTATGAAGGAACATCAAAGTATTTTTTTCTCTAGAATTTGATTCTTTCTCAAACTAATAAATAGTCCTCAATCATAAGTCACTTGGTGGTTTAGTTGAATCAAGACCATTTCTCAATTGTAGTGAAACCTTTTCTTCATTGCAGTGATCTTTATTCCATGCAATCCTTCTGAACTAAAAATATCGGGCAATGATGAAAGGATGGACAAAAAGGACCCATTGTTAACTCATGATTTTAGATTAATATGTTATATCTTGGGAAGCACCGACACTCCATCTAGGGTGTGCCATAACGGTGTTGAACACGGCTAGAAGTGACTTGAAATTTGAATATTTTATTTTTTGGTTGAACACGGCTAGAAACGGACACGGCAAGGAAACATTTTGAATACTTCTTAAACACGGTGGGGTGATTTTGTAATTATTATTATTATTTTTTTTAACAAATTATTACTTTTTTTTAGAAGAATGAAATTCAATGCATTTTAAAACATATTATAAACTAATATGAAAAATAACATAAAATTTTTAAAACAAAAATAACAAACATTTGATTCTTAATTTCAAATTAGTGCTTTTATTCATGTTTACCTGGATAAAATGAATAAAAATTATTATTTTTCTATATATAATAAAATATTATATTATTATTTTTTTGTGTATGCATGTCATATATGTGTCTTTTTTTTTAAGATTTGTTACATTGCCATATCCATGCTTCCTAGGTTATATCTTATGGTATATTTTTTGTTTAAAAAAAAAATTAATAATAATAATTGATTTTAAACCCACTAAGTGTGACCGTTGACTATTTTTTGTGAACTATTATATAAGATATATGAAATGAGTTATTATAATTAGAGTAAGACCATCAAGAGATTTATCTCATGAGAAGGGTAATGAAATTTTCGTACTGACCATTAGAGTGATTTGTTAAAATATTTATTTCACGTTCTACAGATTCCAAAAACTGTCTCGATGAAGTATTTAGTAATGAGATTTGATTAACTCCTAAACAATTTCTTGTTTCTCTTATATGTCCAAGAAAATTTCAAATGTTTTCCCTAAGCTCTTTATTATATCAATATTGGTATTTCTTGTTTCTCTTATATGTCCAAGATAATTTCAAATGTTTTCCCTAAGCTCTTTATTATATCAATATTGGGTAAAGCGTCAAAAAAAAAAAAACAAAAAAAGGGTGCCAAAATCCTGGTGTAAAAATAAAAACTCTACATTTTTTAAATTGAGCAAATAAAGACAATTCTTTAATTTAAATATTAAAATACCTAAAATGCCTTTGTTCAAAATAAAAATAAAAAAGAATAAAATAACATTAATAATATTAATAATAAATAAATAATAAAAATATGGGCATTTTTTAAAAAAAATTATAAAACACCCCAAAAATTTTATTTATTATTTATTTATTGTTTTACATATATTCATCGCCAAACCATTCCTCTCTCTTAGATTCTTCTTCTTAGGGATGGCAATTTGTCCCGCAGGGACAGGTACCCGCCCCACCTCGTCCCATTTATAGTAATTTTGGGAGTCGTTTAACTTATTTTAGCGGGATAGTTTTTATTAATGAAAACTCCCGAAAATTTGGGTCAGGGCGGGGAGAGTTCACCCCACCTCGCCTCACCCCGTTTAGTTAGGTAAATTACTATATTACTCTTATTTTATTAGCATATATAGGTAACTCTAGAAACTCTAAATCACATTCACTCACTTTCTCACTCGTTTTAAAGAGAAATTCTAGAACTAAACGGGACGAGGCGGGTGTCCGCAAGGTGAAAAAGTTAAACGGGGCAGGGATGGGGTGGAAAGGCCCGTTTAGGCGGTTTTGGACGGAGATAGGGTGGGATTTCTAAACGGTTACGAGGCAGGGGAGGTACACCCGCCCAAAACCACCGGCCAGTCCCCCTCTATTTTTCTCCTCAGTCCACATCTCCTCTCTTTCTCTTCTCTCCCTGATCCACCTCCAACACGACGACCATAGAAATTAAAGAGGACGACAAGGATAAGTGAACAAGATAGAGGATGAAGACGACGACGACGACGATTTGATCCGACTTATTTTTCTTATCTTCAACTCAGATTCTCAGTTAATTCATGCCGATAGTTAAAATTCTTCACCTTCAACGAGGGAAAAAAAATTATGCTCCTTCAGCAACCGTTCGACTCTTCTCCACATTAAAATGTTCCAATTCTCTCTTTTTCTGTAATAATTGATTCATTTATTGGGTTCCATTTTTTTTTTTTTTTTTTTTTGGCTCCTAAATTTGATTGCTTTTTTCATGATCTAGGGCTAATTTCGTACAACCCCTACTACTTTCAATTTTTTATCATAAACCACCAACCTGTTTTAAAAAACCCTCTACACTTTAAAAATTGATCAAATTGCCCCAGTATTCGTGTCCGACCTTTTAATCAGGCTGTGAAATGACAAATTTGACCTTACTATTTAAAGTTAAATTAAAAAATTAAAAATTACAAAATAACCCTAAAGTCTTCTTCAACCCCCTCCATCTAAATCTCTCTCTCAAACTCTCACCTGTGTGGGGTTTGCTGCTGGTAAGATTGGTGACTGAATTCAAACTGAGTTAAGGTTTTCAGTCAAAGTAATTGTCTAGGGTTTTCAAACAAAATTGGCTTTGACAATTGGTGATTGTTCAAAGGAATTGTAGTGGAGGGTGTGGTGCTTGCCGAAGACCACACCATCAGCGAGGGAGAGGTTTTTATGAACATCGTCGATGTTCTTCATCACGTTCTGCAACTCCTCCGCTGAGATCGACCCATTTTTGTCCATGTCGAACACCGAGAACACCTCATTCAGATTCTCCAGCGCCTCGCCAGAGTCGATGTCCTTCGTGTTCAGCTCGAGGAACTAGTCAAGTAGATGAACTCGTCGCCGTCAGCGTCCACATTCTGGATCATCGTGTCCAGCTCCTCCACGGTGGTGTCGTTGCCCAAGCTGCCCATTATTGCGCCGAGCTCCAACAACGAGATCTTACCGTCGTTGTTCACGTTGAATTTCTTGAACACGAGAGATGGAATTCGACGGCGATCGAGAGGATTGATATCAAAGCCAAGAACAAATTTTGGCAGAAATTCCCAATCTTCTGGATTTCACAAAGCTAAGATAACTTCACTATTTTCAATTTCACACTTGACATTGCCCTTAATGGTACTCTAACAAGGAACAAAATAAAATGTCACATATTAAACAATATACAAGAAAATCCAAGGCACACCACTGGGCCGCAGATGCTATAACTGGAAGAAGTGGTGAACTTTTGTTGAACTCCAGGTCTCCTCCTTCTATATGTCCCTATGCTCTTTGTTTGCTGATACATATTTCGGAGTCCAGCATTCGGATTGTCATACAACTTATATGTAGAATAGGTCAATTGCAAAAAAAAAACACCAGTATAGTATGCTTACGGTGCATATTATAGTCCTTTTGTGCAAAAATATCCATAAATTATGATATTTATACAAATAGATCTATTTATGAAAATTAAACTAAAATACTCTTAGCAACACATTTTAAAATATATATAAAAAATACATATTTTGTGAAATGATTAAAAAGGGTTTGGCCTTTCAAACCACCAAGACCCACTCCCGTGACGACATGCCTAGTTCAAGTGTCCATTAAAATCGGCGAGCTACGACAGTGAGCTTCCATTTCGTTGAGATATAGTCCGGTGAGCTACGAGACTGTTCCGGTGCGCTAGGAGAATTGTTGGCTCTAGTTCAGCTTCATACAGCAGCTTGGTCACTGCAGTTGGGTAGTTGATGCTCAGTCTCTGAACAACAGCTTCAGGAGGACGCGAGCTCCATCTCCGGCAGGCTTCCTTCTATTCAGATTTCAGACCAACTTGCAGACCCAGTAAGCATCATCATTATGTGTGCTTTATCAAGCACCTGGCACTATCCTTCCAATATACAAAAACTAACAGCAAATTAATCAACTAAGCTTATCACAATAAAGTGTATATCTATGCATATATAATGATAAGTGGGGAAAAAAAACACTTACAAAACGGTGGAACATATCCACAGCTTTCTCAGCTTCTTCAATAGTATTCATAGTCACGAATGCAAACCCACGACTCCGATCAGTTTCCCTATTGTAAATAACCTACAAAAAGAAAAATTGTAAAACCCAAACAACACATACCCAAAGATCAAAAATTCCTTCAAGCCCCAAAATCATCAAAACCAAACAACAAAAAAAAACAAAAAAAAAAAAAAAAAATCCCAAATATAAAAAATCCCTTCAAAACCCGAAAAGGACAACTTGTCACAATCAAATGCAAAGAACATTACCCCTGCAATCTCAACAACACCCGTCTGATTGAAAATCTAAGCCAATTTCTCACTATCAACATCATATGGCAAGTTCCCAACGAAGACATTTGCCACTTCAGGTGGCTCCACAAACTCTTCTTCTACGGCACTTCTGGTGCTAGAGAATTGATTTGATTAAATAATTTGTAATATTTAAAAATTTGGTATTTTTAAATTCTCTTGGATACTTCAGAAAATTTTGGATATCATGTGTGCTTGAAATTTATGGAAATTGCTATTGGCATAATTTTTGTTCAAATATCAGAAAAATTGAAAAATAAAAAAAATTCAAAAAGATTTTCCTTTTAATTTTTATTAAGAATTTTTCTTTTTGATTGGATAGAGATATCAGGTGTGTGATTTTGAGCTTGATTGGTGGATGGAACATGTGTTATTTTGGATACTTGTCTTTGGTTCCATTGCTACTATATATCATCATGTTTTTTGTGCTTATTGTAATATCTTATGTATGGATGATAGTTTTGATCTCTCTTCTTGTTAATTCTCTCACATTATTTCTTTTCCTTCTTTGTTGAGCTTTATTTGTCAATTTGTAACAAAAATGGGGAGCAGTGTGCATATGTGAAGAGAAGAGTTTATAGAATTAAGGGGAAGATATATTTATATATATATTGATATATGTTGATTGTTTATTTTTCTCGATTAAGCTTCACGGATAGTTTTGTTGAGCTAATGTGCAGGTTACAAGTTGCTACATGTGTTGAAACTTCATGATGATCAAGAAGAGTTCCGTTTTATTTCTTTGACGATCATTGTAATTTGTTTTTTCTGCTTAGGTAGATTACATGTTGTTTTTAGAGTTTTGTCACGAAATTGCCAAAGGGTGAGATTGTGAGATATATATTTTGGGGAGATTGTGAGATATATATATTTTGTATATTGGCAATTTTTGGTGTCAAAACAAGTCTTAGTCGAGTTTTAATTTCAAGTTACTATATTAGGATCGACAACGACTACGGAATTGGAAGGTTGTTGAAAGTTACCATGACTGAGATCATTCGAAAAAGGTAAGAATAATACTTTAGGAAGGAATCTAAAAAAGTTAGGACACATTTCATACTTGGTATATTTTCAGAAATTTCCAAAACAATTTTTTTATCAAGTTCACCCTGAAAATTCAAGTCTACTAGACTTGAACCGGTTCAGCCCCATTGAACTGGTTTAAGGCCTTCAAGATTGGCTTTGAAATCTTTCTACCAATCTTAAACTGGTTCAGCACCCTTGAACCGGTTCAAGCAGTCTTGACAGTAATCCAACTTTCAGTTTCCTATTTCATAATTGTTTCCTAGTTGATCTAGAATTGTACCAAGTCCTATGCACGAATTTTTCCATATTTTCTGAGGGACTAGGACATTCTAAACTCTATATAAACCTTGTCATACACATATGTTTATTCATAAAGTTAAGGAACATCAATTCTATATTTTGAGAAAGCATTTAGAGAGATATTTTTATACACGGGTTTTACATATAAAATTCAGATTCAATTGAAAGCCATCTTTGAGAAATATTTTTACTCAGAAAATCAATGTGATTTTTTTGATTTTATTTTTTAGAGCACACACATAAACACAAGAGTGATTTTGTAGTGTTATTCTCTATCTCATCGAAATTGAAGCATAATTGAAGATTTAGAAAATTCCGAAAAATCAGAATTCATTCATTCTTCATCAAATTCAGATCTAGAAGAAAAGGGGTGGAGGGATCACACTTTGAAGGGGTTAGACTTCAGAGCATTCGTGGAGTGTTGTCTGATCTACCTACAACTATTCTACAGAGATCGAGAGTAAGCTTGAGGTCAAGAGCTGTTGGACGGGGAAGTCGCAAAGCCAGGGATTGTCAGCAATTGGTTTTTGGTAAAACGATAGGGTATGAGACTGAGTCAAAGTTCGGTACACTTTGCTTTAAACATAGTGGATCGTTTATCTCAGGACTGCAAAGTCCAACAAGGTTTTTCCTGTTACAATTGGTCTATTCTACCAATTGAGGTTTCCTCGCTAAAATTCTGGTATCATCTCTCAAACTCTATTTACTTTACTTGCACTTTATTTTTGCTTTGTGGTTTGATTTTAGTTTTATTTTGGTAAAATTAAAATAAGTAAAAATTGGATAAAATAGCAAGTTAAATCTATTCACAATCCTCTAGGTTATCTATCCATATTATATTCCACAACCATTCTGTTGCGCACTCAACAATTTGCAGAGAGTCGTGCGAGTCTCTGTCATTGATCCTGACGCCACAGACTCCTCTTGAGATCGACGTCGGCTGAGTTGGTGGTTGAGAGGGTTGGGAGATCGGCTAAGTTGGTGTCGTTGCCCCATCATTGATCCGGCCGACCTTGTTGGCTACCCGGCTCTATTTTGTATGTGTGTGTATATATCTATAAATATATTTGTGTGTATATCTATACATATATAAACTATTTCTTGTGCTGTTGATCTTGTGTCTATATCTATACATATATAAACTGATACAAGTTGTCTGCAAATAGATTGTTAGTAAATGATTTTTATTTTTTTTCTCAAAACAACTGTATTAACATTGTTACACTTGTTAGAACAGTAGAGAAAATGGGAGAATAGAAAAATAGAGTAACTAAATAACAAGTACAGAACAAAGCTTAAGCGAAATAGTGATCAAAAGAGCTTGGAATGGCGGCGAGGTAAAGAACTGTGTGCCTTATTGGGTATAATTGCAGAGGTTAAAGAGAATGAAGGCTTGTATGAGAAGGATGAGGCAATGGTAGGTGTTTGTGGTATGATGTCATTTGCTAGGTGTGAAATGCAGAGGGGTCGTTTTGTCTTTTAAAATTATGTATTTTTGTATTAAATTGTATTAAAAAATTAAGGGTAAAAGAGTCAATTCACATATGTCGTAGCCCAAAAAGCAAATTGGGGTGTAAGTGAAAGTTAAAAATCAAATCTTCATCTAGGTGAAATATGACCTAACTTTAGTGGGTCTGAGTGAAATTAACCCTAAAATTATGTAAAATAAAATGCAGCGAGACTTGTGAACTAAGTCACATGATTCGCCAAAGAAGGTCGGCGAATTGCGTTCTGTGCGCGGATTTTCGAATTGAGAGCGGATTTGGAATTCGCAAACTTGTTTTTGGGAATCCACAAATTCATTTTAATGATGGGTTGAGAACAATTATACTACATTGGGACTTATTAATGAAATAATGCTTATTGGGCTGAACTTATAATCACATGGGTTAAACTTTTAAATGTAGAATAATAATATACAAGGGTTTTAAAATTAAAGAACTTGTTCACGGGTCTACTGAGTCGAAATTTATATAATAAGACAAGTATACATAAATATATATATAATATAGACGCTCACGCTCTCAAGCATTTTGAATATTGACGCTTTCATGCTTCGTTCTTGAATATTAACCTTGTGAACCAAACCATATGTTAAGCCCACCTAATATTTGGGCTAAGAGGCCCGGGACTTTCACAAAAATACATTTTCAGACCAGTGTCAATTTGGGTCTAAAGCATAAAAGAACTCTTCACATCTCAACAACCAAAACATACGGAGCTCCGACCAGATTTAGGGCAACTCTCTTCATCCTTCAAAACCGAATCCATGAAGCTCCCCACTTTACAGGCAAGTACTCATCTCTACACTCTTCGCTGTGATTGAAAGCATATTATATATATAATACATCACTGTGTTTCTTCAATAAATGACTATATATATCTGCAAAAGTCTCATCTCTTTATCTCTCAAGAACTCTTCACATCCCAACAAAACCCCAATCTCCCTTTTATCTCTCCTCTTCTTCTCTTCCTCTCCAAAACCCCCCATTGCAGTGGCCGATTACTTGATTGATAGACACAAATTTTCTGCTGAAACTGCTTGGAAAGTCTCTTCCTTCGTAAAGTATCTGAAAAGGCCTGAAGAGACCGATTCGATTCTTTCATTTCTCAAGGAAAGTGGTTTTTCGGATACCCATCTCGAGCATGTCATCAAAGTCGCCCCTTATGTTCTCTCTGCAAATCTTGAGCACACCATCAAACCCAAATTCAAGTTTTTTCTGGACTTGGGTTTTTCTTCCAGCGATGTAGTGAAATTTGTTTTGTCTAACCCATCGGTTCTAAATCGTAGTGTTGATAATCAGCTTGGCCCGTCGATTCTAGCATTGAAGAGTGTTTTGGGTTGGAATATGGATGATGTGTCTAGGGTTCTAAAGAAATCTGGGTTTGGTAGGATTTTGAACCATGATTTGGCGAAAACTTTGATACCCAATATTGAATTTTTGAAGAGTTGTGGTATTAGTTTGTCGCAAATAACTCGTTCTATCTGTTATTACCCAAGATTTTTCTTGTTTAAACCGACGCGTATTAGAGAATGTGTCAAGATCGTTGATGAGATGGGCTTTAACAGGGAGTGTAAGACGTTTCTTCATGCCATTCAGGTTATTAGTAGAATGTCTAAAGAGACTTGGGAGTTGAAATTGGATGTCTTTAAGAGTTTGGGGTTTTCCGAAGATGACATTTTGTCAGTTTTTCGGAGACAGCCTATGGTATTTGCTGTGTCAGAGAGGAAAATTAAGGAGATAACACAGCTTTTCCTTAGCACTGGCAAATTTGATATCTCATTGGTTGTTAAGAACCCAGATTTACTTATTCTCAGTGTTGAAAATAGGCTTAAACCACGGCTAAGAGTTATGGAGGTTTTGGAAAGGAGGAATTTGCTTCTTAAAAAGCCAAGTATGATGACTGTATTCCAGATGACTGATAAGAAGTTCTTGGAGAAATATGTAATCCCTTATTCAGATGAAGTTGGTGAATTATTCGTGGTTGAGAAGGCCTCATTGACAGCAGAAATATGTGCTAACACCTAGAGGCGGACTGAATCTTTTTTTCCTAAAAGCAACGACTTGGCGGCATAGCATGGCAGGTAAGGAGGTACACTTTTGCACTAGATATTCACATTTTTTTCTTGTATCCATATGGTGTACTACTCTGAAAAACATGGATTAATTTTCCAGGTTATCTTAGTTTAACAGTTGTTTTTGTTTCAAATTTTTAATTGAGGCGTCATATTTTCTCATTTTTTGTGCTAGGCGGTGATTATCAAGTATCTGCATGTATAGCCGTGATCTTATTCTTCATTTTTAATTCTTGATTGCAGCAAATGTAACAAAATTTTGATAATTTTTTTCCAGCTCGACAAGTAATTGAAAGAGTTACAAAACCATTTTCTTAGTGGAATATTTGATGTGAGAAATCAATTGGAACACTTTTAAGGAATGAAGCATATGTAATGATACAACCAAGTATTGAGTTTACAATATGAACAATGTGGTGGCTCAAGATCATATGGGCTTGCCAGGCTTGGCTTGTCCATTTAATAGATTCATTTTTTGTTTCCTGTTTCTTTTCTTGCCTGTTGATTTTTTTGTTTTTTTTTTTTTTTTTATTATTTATTTTTATGGTTCTCTTTTCCAATTCTCTCCCCTTGATGATGATTATTATGTTGTGAAATTTATTTACTCTACCGAAAGGGAAAACATTTATGTTGTCTCTTTTGTATGTATGGAGCTAATAAACTTGATGGGTCTTAAAGAGCTAATACCCTGCTTTAGAACTAGAAACAAACTATATCAAATGTGTTAAATCATATTTGCATGCTTTAAGATCAAGAAACACTTGAGCAGACACACTCACTTGGGCACTGACAGAAGAAGAAAATTGGAGTCAAACAATGTTGATTCAAGCATTTCACAGTACTCGGTATCGGTGTCTTAAAGGGTGTTCACTTTATCACAATGAAACCCTTTCTCTGTTGTAAGTAGTGATCTTTATTCCAGGCAATTCTTCTGAAATAAAAATATTTATTTGACCTCTTTACATATTTCAAAATTTGTGTCATTGAAGTGATTAATAGTGAGAGTTTGATAACTTCTACAGTAAATAGTTTATTGTTTATATCTTGCCTAAGTTAAGGATGGCAAATGTGGTCCCACAAGTACCAACAATTCTGCGACGACTTGGAGTGTCGATCAGTAGGGGACGAGTACACTTGGTTCACCATCTGAGTGGTTCTCGAAGGTGAGACATTCATCATCAAGTTTTTGGACTTCCCCGAATGTCAAATTCCTTGGGCTAAAGGTAAACTGGTAATCTAAAATCAAATCAACTGGAAAGCTGCTACAATTTCTTTGACCAAATTGTTTTAATAACGTAATTTCTGTTAAGAATTTGTAGATTATGAGGATTGGATTTTGAAATTTGAGAGTTTATATACAGACCCTCCAAGTCGTCGACAACTTCGGCCGGTTTCAGCTTAGGTACATGACAACGAGTGCTCTAATATCATCCAAGGCTTGACGGTCTATTCCTCATTCGAATTCAAATGAGGTTACGTTCACGTCAACGCGGAGAGTAAACATTAGCTTTTTCTCCTATTTCTGGTTATTCCACATTAGTTTTTTCTCCTGTTTCTCTCATTTGGTCTAATGACTCTAATATCTTGTAGCATTGTGATTTCAGGCTGAATCATATACTATATAATATACAACACATATTGTATATTTTCTCACATATCACGCTGGTCATGAATTTGTTTCTTAGAACTTATATCGTGTTCGGGTTATGAGTACTACTAATAAGAGTTGAGTCTTTTCATGTATGTAGCTTTTATTCTTAGAAATTCTACTTTACATCTCGTATGAATTTGAACTCAGTGAGCTATGTTCACCAAACACTCGACCTCGGCTCAAAACAACTTGGTTCACATGTATTACACGCACAAACACACATGTAAAGAAACCAACAAAAGATACTTGTAGATTTGCAGCGATTAGTGTGTGTATATAAATACCCAAACATCAGTGCGTGTATATACACACACACACACCATATACACATAGTTGCAGCGAGTCAGCGACCTTCACATCGATATTCGATTTCCATCAAAATGGACTTGCAGTGTGGTCGGGTCATAACCTTAGAAAAGAGACGATTTGATGTTCGTCTTCCCACAAACAAGAACACACATTACTTTCAAAGATGCCCAACTAGGCTTACAACCTCTGAATTTATTTAGACTCGATTCCCCTTTCCAATGAGAGAATCTTATCCTAGCTAACTAACTATTAACAAAATGATAAACATAGCTAACTATTGTTATAGATAAGAGAAAGAAACAGAAGGTAAACAAAGATCTGACTGACTACTGAAGATAAAGAAGAAAACAACCTAACGAGAAAGTCATAATAGTCCTCCCAAGTTGGATCTTCCACAGGGTGGTCGACCCAATGAACTAAGAGAGAGTAACAACTTGATTGTGATGTTTAGATATGTGACGATCCAAAATTTTCAATGAAACCCAATTAGAGGCACTGTGATCAGTGATCGGAGGAAGTGTAGGGATCCCAGCTTTGTCTTTGTCTTGAGAAAGGGAAATATGAAAAACAGGATCGAGTTTACATGTAGGAGGGAGGTCAAGCTTATATGCAACTAATCCAATGCATTGGATGACTTGAAATGGGACATAAAACGAGGAACGAGTTTATTATGGACCCGTTAGAGTTTACTAACGCTTTTATTTTCTTCAAAAGTAAAATTATGATTTTAATTTCTAAGATAAAACATAAAGTAAAATTATATTTAGTAATTACAGATTGCTTTCAGAATTTGAAAGCAAAACATAGAAAGTGTGTTTAATAAAAAAAAAAAAAAATTCTATTACATGTACCTCTGTGTGCTACAGTTCCAATTGAACGAGCAGAGATGAAACCACTTCATCTTCTCCCTTCACGATTCCCTGATCCGACTTGGTTTGGTGTCCCAATAATGTTCGAAAAGTACATCACAAAATTGAAAGATTGATTGATATATCTAGCAGATAAAAATAAACCATAGAGAGATATAGAGAGTTAGGGTACAGATCGGCAATCAAACCAGAAATCTTAACCCATTATCTTGAAATCCATAACTTTTTTTGCCGCAACAACCACGTCACTGAGTCTAGACGTTGTAGCACCATCATAGCATTCATAGCCATCGCCAATTGGATGGGCCTTTTGCCTTTGTCATCACCGTCAATGTCTTCGGAATCTTTCATCGTTGTATTCGTTGTTGTTGTGTGCCTAACTTTTTGATTTTGTGATAAGGATTTAAGGGTAAGAAAACAGAGGGAGGAAGAGGGGATTTTGTCATGAGGATGAGAGAGAAAAAATCAGATCTGAGTGTCGACCCACTGAACTAGGAGACGAGTAGCAACTTGATTGTGATGTTTAGATATGTGACGATTCAAAATTTTCAATGAAACCCATTAGAGGCACCGTGATCAGTGATCGGAAGAAATGTAGGGATCCCAGCTTTGTCTTTGTCTTGAGAAAGGAAATATGAAAAACAGGATCGAGTTTACATGTAGGAGGGAGGTCAAGCTTATATGCAACTTATCCAATGCATTGGATGACTTGAAATGAGACATAAATCGAGGAACGAGTTTATTATGGGTCTGTTTACTAATCTTTTTACTTTTTTATTTTTACTTTCTTTAAAAGTAAAATTATGATTTTGATTTCTTAAGGCTTTGTTTAGTTAGGTGGAAACAGGTAGAAAAGAAAGGAAACCAAAAAATTTTAATTTTTTTTTTTTAGAATTTGGATAGATAGAAAGAGAAAATTAATGGAAAAGTTTATTTCCATACTTGTCTATTTTCTTTCAAAACTTTTCATGCATAAAACAGAGGGAAATAATTTTTCGCATGAAATGTTTGTCCTTTTATTTGACATTCCTATTTTATCCATTAAATTAATCGTGAAAAATAATTTCTTCCTTTATTTTTGTACTGAATTTCTAAGAGACGAGTTCTCTGCAAAACAACTTTTTTTTTTTTTTTTTCATAAGATCATATATAACTCGCAACAATAAAATACAATCAAATCTCGCTAAAAAAAATTAGTATTGCCATCAATATATTCGTGTTTTTTTTTAAGTTTTGTTTCTCATACACTAATAATTAGTTCTACTTCTGTCTCAGAAAATATTGTGAAGTCTTATTTTAAATATAAATAAATTAAAACTAATTATATTATTAAACTTAATAATCCATTATTTTACTATTTCCTTGCTAAAAATATACATCAACAAATATAAATTCATTTATTTATTAGTATTTAAAATTATAAGGATAAATTTGGTATCTTAAATCGATTTTTATTTTCACTCTCATGCTATCCAAAATAACAAATTAATATTTTTCTATAATTTTCTTGAATAAATTTTCATTCTAACCAAAGGCATGTTAGAAAATAATTTTTTTTCCATTCACTTCACTTTTCTTTCATTTTCCATTTTTTTTCTTGTTTATTTCCATCTAACTAAACGGAGCCTAAAGATAAAACAGAAAATAAAATTATATTTAGTAATTACCGACTCCTTTCAAAAATTGAAAGCAAAACATAGAAAGTGTGTTTAACAAAAAAAAAATCTATTACATGTACATAAAGATTTAAGCCTCTATGTGCTACAGTTCCACTTGAACGAGCAGAGATGAAACCACTTCATCTTCTCCCTTCACGATTCCCTGATCTGACCTGGTTTGGTGTCCCAATAATGTTCGAAAAGTACAATATATATTGTACATCACAAAATTGAAAGATTGATTGATATATATAGCAAATAAAAATAAACCATAGAGAGATATAGAGAGTTAGGGTACAGATCGGCAATCAAACCAGAAATCTCAACCCATTATCTTCAAACCCATAACTTTCACTGAAACCCTTTGCCGCAACAACCGCGTCAGTGAGTCTAGGTGTTGTAACACCATCATAGCACTCATAGCCATAGTCAATTGGTTGGGCCTTTTGCCGTTGTCGTCATCGTCAATGTCGTCGTCGGAATCTTTCATCGTCGTATTTGTTGTTGTTGTGTGTCTAACTCTTTGATTTTGTGATAAGGATTTAAGGGTAAGAAAACAGAGGAAAGGAAGAAGAGGGGATTTTGTCCTGAGGATGAGAGAGAGAAAAAAAATCAGATCTAAAGAAAAGATAACTTAACCTAAGTCCCATCATCGCCGATATGGTGGTCGCCGGCAATGCCGATCGGCAAGGCGAATCATCTTTGTCGGGGTTGCCCAGGTGGTGGCCATCGTCGTGGGACATGGGAGAGACAATAGTGGGTATTGTTATAAACACCGAACAGAGAGCGTTGTTTAAGTTCCGCTACAGTAGAGGAAGTAATTCCTCTACTACAGTGGAGAAAACAAGAAAGTGAGGAATATGTGCTTTCTTTTTCTTTCATAAAATGTGAAAATACTTTCTGAAATGAAAAAAAAAAGCAAAAATAGGTTAATAAACACAATTTTCACTTTTACTTTATATTTTTAAGAATTGACAGTAGAAATTAAAAAGTAAAAGTGTTAGTAAACAGGCCCTATATGTTCGGTTAGCAAGCGTATGTTGCCGATACGGCTGGAGGCGTAAGTAAACTCAATCTCCCACTTCAAAAACAACGTTCAACCCGATATCGATCAACAATAACCTTCATACGGTGTTGAACGCCCTTGAGGTTCTCTTTTTAGAAGGTTCAAAACTTGATCACGATCATGATGAGCGAAGACCACGACATGCAATGGAGACTTCATAGTATTTAAGTTTTAGAATCTGTAACTATTCATCTTTTCATACTTTTTCTTTTAGAAACTATATTAAAGTAAAGGAAACTCATTCACACAAATCATGAGTTTATAAAGGACAGTAAACAAAAAAATCTCATAAAAACTTTGCCATTAGATCTAGAGGATATATTGATATATTTACATATAGAGAGAGAGAGAGATAAAGAGAGAAAAACGGATCCAAGAAGAACTGTAACAGAGGATATATTGATATGTATAGGCTTGCCGTTTTAATGTGTTACGGAATGTTTTTAATGTGCTATGAATTTTTGGGACAAAAAAAATTTGAAAAAAAAAAAAAAAAACTAATTATTGTCATTATGAATATGGATTGAATAATGATTTGACTTATGTAAACGTGGTGGTAGACCACTACCTTCTCATATGAATTGAATTCGATAACAAAAAAAATAATATTTGTGGGTTTTGAACACGGCCAAAAACCCCAAACAGCACCCTACCTACCGGACTATCACCGCACCTACAATTTGACCCCTAAATCACTACTATTTTGTATTGAGAGTTAAAAATTGTTACCACTCAATGAAAATTATTGATATAAAATTGAAAAACAAAGAGCAATGATACTAAAATAGAAGTAGGAAACCGAAACATCCTGATGAGTTTCCATCCTTTGGATGCATTAATAAATGGGAAAGATTTTTAGTAGATAAACCAGCCCACCTAATACCTGCTCTCTATCAGTCCGCTCTTAGAAACATAGGACCAGCCCGCCTAATGCTTGGGCTAGAGGCCCAGGACTTTCACTCAATCAGATATTTTCGTACGAGTGTCGATTTGGGTTTAAGGCCTTAAACCTCTAGTTGTAAAGCTGAAGAACCCTAATTTACAGAGCTCCAATCAGGTTTAGGGCAACACTGCTCATCCTTCAAACACTTTCACAGAACCAGAGAGAGAAAATCGAATCCATGAAGTTTCCCACTTTTTAGAGGCAGGTACTCATCTCTACACTCTTTGCTTTGATTGAAAGCATATTATAATAGATATATATATATATATATATATATATATTATATCATTGTGTTTCTTCAAAAAATGACTAGATATATATCTGCAAAAGTCTCCTCTCTCTCTCTCTGAAGAACTCTTCACATCTCAACCAAACTCCAATCTCTCTTCTATCTCTCCGCTTCTTCTCCTCCTCTCCTAGAACCCCAATTGCCGTGGCCGATTGCTTGCTTAATAGACACAAATTTTCTACTGAAACTGCTTCGAAAGTCTCTTCCTTCGGAAAGGATGTGAAAAGGCCTGAAGAGACCGATTCGATTCTTTCATTTCTCCAGGAAAGTGGTTTTTCGGATTCCCATCTCGAGCTTCTCATCAAACGCATGCCTAGAGTTCTCTCTGCAAATCTTGAGCGCACCATCAAACCCAAAATCAAGTTTTTTCAGGACTTGGGTTTATCTTCTAGCGACTTTGTGGAAATTGTTTCGTCTAATCCATGGATTCTAACTACTAGCGTTGATAATCGGCTTGGCCCATCGATTTTAGCATTGACGAGTGTTTTGGGTTCGAATATGGATGTTGTGTCTAGGGTTTTAAAGAAATCTGGGAGGCTTTTGACGTTTGATTTGGTCTGATACCCAATGTTGATTTTTTGAAGAGTTGTGGTATTTGTTATAGCTCGATGTGTATGTACTTAAACCAACTAAAATTAGAGAATGTGTCAAGAGGGTTGATGAGATGGGCATTGACAGGAAGTCCAAGTTGTTTCTTCATGCGATTCGGGCTATTAGTTCGATGACTAAAGAGAATTGGGAGTTGAAATTGGAGCTCTTTAAGAGTTTGAAGTTTTCGGAAGATGACATTTTGTCAGTTTTTAGGAGACAGCCTCAGGTGTTTGTTGTGTCAGACAGGAAAATTAAGGAGATAACACAGCTTTTCCTTAGCACGGGCAAATGTGATATCTCATATGTTGTTAATAACCCAGATTTACTTTGTCGCAGTGTTGAAAATAAGCTTAAGCCACGGCTAAGAGTTCTGGAGGTTTTGGAAAGCAGGAATTTACTTCTTAAAAAGCCAAGTTTGGGGACTGTATGCAGGATCACTGATAAGAAGTTTTTTGAGAAATATGTGCTCCCTTATTCAAATGAAGTTGGCGAATTATTTGTGGTTAAGAAGGCCTCATTGAAAGCCGAAGTATGTGCTTAAGATTATGACATTCTTTGGGACTTTATGATTTAACACCTAGAGGCAGTCTGAGACTGACGGTGTGTTTGGTAGGGTTGATTTGGAGGGATAGGGAGAGAAAAGAAAAGAGAGAATAGTGTAAGGGTGTGTTTGGATTAGTTAAGTGGAGAGATAGGGAGGGATAGGGAGAGAAAGGGAGGGATGACTATCCCTCCCTATCACTTGTGGGTTTTCTCTCCCAATTTGAGAAGATATGGAGAGATAGGGAGGGATAGTAAGTTATAAATTATAGGTTACCAAAAATCACCTTTACAAATCAACATACTTAAAAGTAATTTCATTTATGTCCCAACTCTCTCTAGAATAGCAGTTAAGGAGCCACTGTAATTCAACCGATTGAAGTTTGACCTAGCAACAAATTCACAAAAAGGTACAAGATTTTATTGGTGATCATCTCATAGAGTCCCATCAGCATTTTTTTAGGGGCAGAAATTGAATCCAACAAAAAAAAGATTATGTAATATGTACACAGATATGTACATGATCCCGTCAATAGCATATAATTTTAAGATGGCAGTACCAAATTTTATAATTGTGATTTTATCGTTTAATGTATTACTTTTTCTGTGGGTTTCAGGCAAACAATATAATTTCTACTTCCCGGTTGTTTAGGTTGAACGAGTCCTATCTAATTTTATTTTTACCCATTATTTTATTTTTTACTTTTGTTTTTACCCATGACATTGAACTATCAAAAAGAAATAAGATTCTGAAAATGGATAACGTATGAAGTGATTATGACAGGGTAGGACAGTAATTTCGTCACTATCCTTTATTTTCTTTTCTCTCCTCTCTCTTATCCAAACAAGAATAATTATTATTGCTTTTTTTTTTCTTCCCTATCTATTCAAACACAAATAAAAATTATTACTATCCTTTCTTTTCTTTTCTTTTCTCTCCTAACTAATACTATTCTTTCTTTTCTTTTCTCCCTTATTTATCCAAACACACCTGAATCTTTTCTCCTAAAAGCAACGACTTGGTGGCATAGCATGGCAGGTAAGGAGGTACTCTTTTGCACTAGATATTCACATTTTTTTCTTGTATCCATATGTTTACTACTGAGAAAAACATGGATTAATTTCCAGGTTATCTTAATTTAACAGTTGTTTTTGTTTCAAATTTTCAATTGAGGCATCATGTTGAATAACTACGATAGGTATTATATTTTATCATTTTGTGTGCTAGGCAGTGATCAAGTACCCACGTGTAGCCGTGATCTTATTCTTCATTTTTAATTTTCTCATGTGTATGATTGCAGCAAATGTGAATAAATTTTGATAAATTTTTTTCCGGTTCGACAAGTAATAGAAAGAGCTACAAAACCCTTTTCTCAGTGGAATATTTGATGTGAGAAACCAGTTGAAATTTAATTTCAAGTTGAACAGAACTAATTTCACAAACAAACTTGTGCAAAGTTTTAGCTGTTCTATTAATTCAATCCAATTAAAGCATAGCAAATTTACTTTTTAGAAATGAACAGTGTGGTGGCTCAAGACCATAAGGACTAGGCTTAGCTTGTCCATTCAGTAGATTCATTTTTTGTGTCCTGCTCCTTTTCTTGCCTTGTTGATTGTTCTGTTTTCTAATTCTATGTATTTTATCACTATTATGTTATGAAATTTATTTACTCCACCGAAAGTTAATACATGTCCATTTTTTTTTTTTCAAAATTACCCAATAGATTCTCTAAAGAAAACAAGCTTGAGGGATAAAGGTGAAAATGCAATTTAATGAAGAGAGGGTCTTGGATACCCTGTCACTTTAATTGAGTAGTTTGAATTATGTTACTCTCTCTCTCTCTCTCTCACACACACACACAGTTTGTCTGTGTGAGAGGATTTAAAAAAAAAAAATTCCCAGATGTTTGACATTGTTTAAGGACCATTTTTCACTTGTTATTATTAGCATTAAAAAGAATATAAATTGTAAGTTATAATTTGGCAGAGCTTGATCTATTTTTGTCAAGAAATAATACTTACTATATGCTTCAAATAATCCAGATTTATTCTAGCAGGTTACACTGTCAATGAGGTCATATACAATAGTGAAGTGCATAATATACTACAGAATATAAATTGTAACCTATAATTTGTCCTTGAATACTTGTGTATGCAGTGGCTTCAACCAGTCCATTAACCATCCCAAAATTCAATCTAACCATTTTCAAATTTTATTTATTTATTATTTAGTCTAACAATAAACTAATATAGTCACGTGTTCTTAAGGTTACCTAAACTCTGGCCATCTCCTTTGAAAGGTAGAAAGTACTCTTAGATTATAACATTTCGTTTTTTAGTTATTAATCGTTACACGTGTCAACTCACCAAAATATATGTCAAATAAGTTTTTTTTTTAGAACATTATACCATCTATTTTAAAAGGTAAAGAAGTACTATTAGGTTACCTTTAGTAAAATATATATATATATATATATATATATATATATATATATATATATTATATATGCAATTTTTAATTTAGATGAAAGATGCTCCCAACTTGGTGCCAGAATCGTTAATTGTTAATGACTTTTTTTTTAATAGAATTAATGGTGTTATGAAGGAACATCAAAGTATTTTTTTCTCTAGAATTTGATTCTTTCTCAAACTAATAAATAGTCTCTCAATCATAAGTCACTTGGTGGTTTAGTTGAATCAAGACCATTTCTCAATTGTAGTGAAACCGTTTTCTCTATTGCAGTGATCTTTATTCCATGCAATCCTTCTGAACTAAAAACGTCGGGTTCACATTGTGACCGCCAATCGTGTCTAAGGACATGCCACTGTCCCCACCACTATCTGCCCGGTCTTCATGAGAATCACGTAGGGGATCGTCCTCTGGATCCGGAGCATCTTGGAACAGCTGTCTTTGATAGACGGCTTCCTCAAAGGGGCTTTCTATGAAGCTTCCCGATGGGGTTCTATCTCTGGCTGAACCTTGTCTAGGGCTGACGTCATCAGGGCGTTCTGTAGAGGATTCTGCCTCTGGAATGTCCTTGGTGACTGGTTCCACTGGTAGGTGGAAGTCTGTGAGCATGCGGGCTAAAACCGTCTTAATGGTTTCTTCCAGCAATTGTTCTTGGGCTAAGTAAGCTTTTTGGGCTTTATATTGGGCTTTCTTAGTCTGTTATAGAGAAAGAGATTTCTGAGAGTCTTATCTCATGACATTTTTTCCCTTATCTGGGCTGCTTCGCTGGTTAGTTTTAGTGGGCTTGGGCCCTGTGCTAACACCTGTTCTTGGCGAGGCGGCTGAGCTAACACCTGTTTGGGCTACAGGGGTAGCAGTGCTTGCACCTATTTGGACCGCATGGGCATTGGACTCACACCTGTCTGTTGGCTTTTTGGCAAAACCACAGCCATTAACGGATTTGATAAGTCTTTACCATCTACCGTTTGAGATGGACTAGCTGATGACATTTGGGCTTCATCAGTAACCTCTGTTCCTTTTAGTTTTAATTGGGAAGGATTACCCAACAATGCCTGTCCCGCTTTTATAGACTTCGAGAGGTCCATGATGTCTAATCTGAGAGAACAAACCTGTTTCTCAAATTTGGCTGCCTTCTTGGTAAGAAGGGTTCTGTCTGCTTCGAGCCATTTGATGTACTCGGTCTTGTATTTCGCTATACTCCTTGACTTCTTCGTATGGGCAGTTGGACTAACACCTGTCTGTTGGCTTTTTGGCAAAACCACAGCCATTAACGGATTTGATAAATCTTTACCATCTACCGTTTGAGATGGACTAGCTGATGACATTTGGGCTTCATCAGTAACCTCTGTTCCTTTTAGTTTTAATTGGGAAGGATTACCCAACAATGTCTGTCCCGCTTTTATAGACTTCGAGAGGTCCATGATGTCTAATCCGAGAGAACAAACCTGTTTCTCAAATTTGGCTGCCTTCTTGGTAAGAAGGGTTCTGTCTGCTTTGAGCCATTTGATGTACTCGGTCTTGTCTTTCGCTATACTCCTTGACTTCTTCGCAGTGTCTGCAAAAAATAGGAATAGCAGCATCTATATCCCTTGTGGGAGAATAATCAAGAGGAGAATCCTGATAATATCTGAGCGAAGGAGAAACATAGAACGTTGGTCCTAATGCTTTCCTTGCAAGGTCTGTAGCTTCACTGAAGTTGTGAAAGCCTTTGTACAGGGGGTTTTCAATACCCTGGATGGCGTCTATTACCTCAATCCATGTGTGAAACACACCTGTCTTGTTCCCTTTGCATAAAACTTGAACGAAGTTCTTGTTGCATGGAACAGTTCTGATAATGCATTAACTACTGCCAGATAATACTTCTGGTCTCGTTGTTGCATATTGAAAGCAAACCATAGATTGTCTATGATGCACTTCTGTTCTTTGGTGAGTGCAATGTGAGGCATTGGCCTAAAGGACGAGTTGGGACTTGGAGCCACCAACAGTTCTATGTTGCTCTGATACCAATTACAAACACATGCGGAATTACAACAGACCTTTACAAGACAAGGGGAAACTGAGAGATTTACAAACACAGAAACAAAAACAGATGCCTAAACCTTCTTGGGGCTTTGGTTTAAATAGCATTACAAAAGATAAACAGTGCCGGAGGAGATAAGAGCGAATCTTTTCTTTTACTGTTTGAAAAAGTGAGTGTCGGCAACTTTCACTGTTGATGAATAGTATGTCGGCAACTTTCGGCTACTTTTGCTTTTGGAAAAGTAGATAAGACATGTCTTCTGTCGTGTGCTGGATCATGATTGCAGTCGAGTGGAGAAGAGTGTCAGTTATCCTTCCATTGCATTAATGATATTATGGAGTTCATATTCATCAAGAGGAGGAGTACTGGCAGGCGACTGTGCATCGGCAATATCCCATTCAAGATTGAGGCGTTCAGCCCCGTCTTTGACACGAGAGGGGATATCCAGTGTAGTCATGCTAACGATTTCTTTTAAAAATGCTGTAGCAGTCTGAATCTGGTGTTCACCATT